ATCGAAATAAACAAATGTTAGTTACAATTTAACTACAATTAGACAAAAAAAAGGTCACAATAAAAGTATGTACAGGAGGTTCTATAAGGAAAAAAACTGTAAAAGGAAAGAAGTTTCCTTAACTGTCTCTAAATGTTAATATTTTTGCATAGTTCAGTTGTTTAACACTCAGAAAGAAGGTAATCTTTTTAGAAATGTATATTTTTGTAAAACATGGCTTAAGCAAGCACAGGTGCAGGTTTGTGTTGTCACCTCACAGTGAGAAGGTTCTTTATTTAAGCTTCCTTGTTGGAGTTTGCTCTTCGCCCTCTATCTGCATCGGTCAGGTTCTCAAATTTATCACTACTGCAGAACCTTGTGAAGTGAATGTATGACTGTCTCCATCTTGGACTGGTGTCTAGTGGATTGTACCTTCTGCTTGCCCTGAGAGGTGTGCTGCAACCTTGTCAATGAGGAAAGCAAGGGACAAAATTAACCTGTCCTGGGGTTCAAGGGTGAGCATCTGCTGTTCAGGCCTAAGCCCACAGAGCTAAGCCAGCCCACCACCCTGAACAGGCCTGTAGAGGTTGGATTGATTGGTTGTCATTGAAGGAGGCCCTGGCAGCCCAATCCCTGTTTGCAAAAGATTGCTAAAAGAATATGGTGGTTAGTAATAGAAAGCTAATTTGAGCTGCTTCCTTGTCACAAGGAGTCTCAGGCAGATAGCTCTTCATGTTTTGATTTTTTTTTTAACTCTACATTTTCTTCCTGACACAACGTGCAGCTGAACTAGCAAATTTTTTGCAAAGTAACTGTGTAAACCACTAAAATATGGAGCTATGGTAGTAATGTGGAGTGTAAACACAGTATATCGATTAGCACAAGGATAATGGCCCCATGAGGCAGTGTGTTATGCTGTAATTGTATCTCATTTGTTCATTATGCTAATGCACTAGTAATGCATTAGCTGATACACTGTCAGTGTGTATATGTGCTGCTTTCATAGCTCTGACGGTGTGTATACACTCAGTTGTTCTGAAGACTTTTCTCTATCGAGTAAACCTTTCATGAGCTCCAAGTCCACCATATATTTAGCTCAGCATTTCTTATGATGAGGCCCACACAGAAGCATATATGCAAAAAGTGACATCGTCAACAGCAGTGGGGATTCAGAGCAGGGCTGACCACTTCTTGATCCTCCCTTTGCCACGTCCCCATGTAAAGCACCCTGGAAATACCTCTGATTATGGCGCTGGACTCATGCTCACTTTGTAAACGCCTGTAATTCAATCACTGTGTTCTTGCACCAATCTACTTGTCAGTGAACCCAGCTGGTCTCTGTGGGGTTTTTTTTGCAGTAGTCTTGGAGTAGCTATTGCAAATTACCTGGGGAAAATGCTCGCTATGAACCAGGATTATTTTTCCTTTAAATTTTTAATAAAGTGTGAAATAACTTTTTAGATGGAAATGGTTTTGAAATTATATGTAACTTTTTTAAATTGACATGCGTATTTGTGCAGAGAAAAAATAACTGCAGAGGAAATTAGACAAATGATGTTGAAGATGGACCTGATGGTGGGTGAAAAAAGAGATGATGGAGTGAAGGAGGACTTGGAGAGAGTTGTTGAGAGAGAGGGGGGCAGATGATAGTGGCAACCCCTGAACAAGATTTATTAGAATATTGTGAAGACAGGTGGTCAAATCAATGAGCAATGTTTACTTACATTCAAACTGAACTCAATCATATATGTGCTTCAGTAATTTACAAACTTCTAATAACACAAACTCAACATTGTAATCAAACTGATCAGTTTTTGCATATTTGGCAACTATTAACAAAACCCTTCGAGGACTGTGTCCTTGATATTCATTATTCATTTCAACGGCATGCAATAAAACCATGTTTAATATGCTTACCATATCATAAATGACTTGTAGCATTGAATGCTACACTGACACGATATCTACAATGAGATTGAGTGAGATGAATGATTAACATTTATACTATACAGTAACATTTATAGCTAGCTCAATGGATTTAGTGTTGCCTGAATTTGGAATTTGTTGTTTGAGCATGTACAAATCCAGCTGTTTTGGAAATTATAACTTTGATTCACTGGTTTCTTGACAAAAAGCCAGTTTATATGAAGTTGTCATGATTTAAAATTTTTCGTGCAAACACATGCACAGTGACTGTGTGACTAAGTGCTCATTGACCAGATTTGTCTGTCTGCCCAGCGTTCAGGCATCCTTGGAATGATTCTCACTCTGCAGGTCGCCAATGCTCCACACCCCATCACCCCAGTATTTTAAGAAGACTGACACACATTTTGTTAACAGCTGAGTGCATAACAAGAGCCTAAAACTACAAATGACTTAAATAAAATCATAATAAAATTAAATAATAAATGCTGAACACATATTGGATTTCCAGTTTCTTATAAGTTCCCTGCTTTGATTTAGTGCATTTACAACATTTAAACAATTGACAGCTCGCCCTCTTGTTACTCATGCATGTATTTAATCTTTTTTTTCCTGCTCATACTGCAACCATGATGATCAGCACTGTTCTTTTTTTCCAAAGTGATGCTGACCCAGTGCAGAAAAATCTGGAACATGGCATCCCCGGTGGTGACCTGGGTTTGACCTGACCTCTGTGATCTACATACTTGACACTCACCTAAAACCCACATCAGAGACCTTCTATATTTGGTAAAAGCCAGCAGCAGTTTCATCTTTAGTTAACTGTCAAAGCTTCTGCACGTTGGCAGAACAAACCACTTTTACCTTTCAGTGCTGTGCAGAAGTCTTCAGCCACTCATTTTCTTTATATTTTACTAGGAAAATGGGAAATAGATTCAGTGATTTGTTGAAAAACATCCAAACATACAATATATAAAGCAAAAGCAGAGTTTCTAGTGAGCTTGAAAATCAATATTTCATATGACTGCCTTTATTTTTAAAGACTGCCTGAACTCTCTGAGGAAGTGTTCTCATACTTTAAGTAGTCTTCAGGAATAGTTCTTGAAGGACCTCTCTGGATGTTTGGGATCACTGTCATGCTGGAAAAATTAAGACATTAAAAATTAAGCTGTTGCCAATCAGATCCATGGCAGATCAAAATCTGATGGTACTTTTCTGTGTTCATTTGACAAAATCCCAACACCACAGGCTGAAATGCAGCCGAAAATGTGGGCTAGATGAATCATCTGAAGGGCTAAATGCATCTTTCAGTTCTGCATCAGGTATTTTTTGGATGTCTTCCTGTTATTTGAAGGACTTTAAATCATTGTTCATCTGGTATAGACTGTTTTAAGGTTTTTAGGACTTCCACTTCTTTTGTCCCCCACTTGTTCAGTTTCCAGTGACTTTTTTTAAAGACACACTGCACATCATGCTGAAGTTTTCAGCTAATGGCTTTAATACCATTTTATGTCTGTCTTCTTTGGGATTTTTCATAGATTCAACTAAATAAATGGGGGGAAAATCGTGTTTTTGAGACAGGCTGCTAACAAAGGTTCTAAAGCTAATTCTTTGTTGTCTGACACAACATGGTTCATTTGAGTTAGGTGCTTTTTTTTATGCTTGACATATGATTCATAGGTCGGTGGTAAGAGACTGGATATGCAAAACTCATTCAACTGAAAATAGTCAGGTTTAAAGACTGGTTTGAAAACGAGTGAAAAAGCAGCCAATGTCTAAAAGCAACAACTTTGAAAGACCTTCAGACAGCCTGGAGAATTACTACTCCAGACCGCTTTAAAAACTACAACAAAATCTGGCACCTTGGAAGCAAAATATAAAGGATAAGTGGTAATCAAGACTTTTGCACTGTAGATTCTAATTTCAGTCTGCAGACTTCTGTGTTTAATCCAACACCAGCTCTAAGTGATAGAGGTCACAAAGAGCAATTACCGTGTCCTGGGAGTTAAAACTACCCGATGCACTTGTTAAGCTAAATTGAATAACCACTTCAAAAATATCACAACTTTCTGAGTCTATTCAGGATTCATAGGCTGAATATAACCCTTTATGATAAGTTTCATTTAAACTTATGTGTCTGTTTAAAAAAAAAAAAATACTACTTCATAGAAATGTACTAAAGCAGCTAATGATATGATTTAATACAGGCCTGTAACAGCACATACAGGCTTCAACTGAATTACTCACTGAGTTAATGTAGTTTCGTATTTTCAGATCAGTTTTTCTTCTATTCTGACTTTTTGTTTTGAATTCAGTTTCGGTAGTTTCCCCAAGCATGTCTGCTCACTTCAGTTTAGTTTCCATCTGTTTTCGTGTTTGCTTCAAGAGCAAGATGTAAGAGTTTCAGAACAGGTGTTACAATACAAAGACAACAATTTGTGAAGGCTGCTGGCTCACAGTCATGTAAACGTCCATAATGTCACAAATGTCCATCAAAGCCTTGTTGGACAGGTTGGGTTGTCAACTGACAAACACTAAAATTAAGCATGTTCCCTCAGGTATGTTTTCTCTTAGGACACTACTTTTCTCTGACACATGGTTAATCCTGCATGTTAGCAGGTGCTCTTCTTACAGTTGTAAAGGTAAACATGACAGGTATAAACAAAAAGAAAAATGTGCATTTTTATGGATAAGCTAAACACTTATTTAGCATATATAAACACTAAATGCATCTACTTTCAACTAAATGACTCCATAAAAGCTAAACAGGGGTGCCTGACTATCAGTCCCCTAATGTACGTTTTCAGTTTTTAAAGAGGGTCGGCACTGCAGTCGTGTATACAGCTTCTCTTTACTACAGTTTATGCTTTGTACTAGTGCTTTTGTTTACTGTATATCTCATTTATTTTGGCAGCTTTTCTTAGGCTATAAATGCCGATGGGTGTGTGGCATGCTTCACGGTGCATTCTTGTGCCTTCACAAATATTTTTACAATGCTTGCAGCGGAAGTTTCAACATGCACAGAGTTGTATGTGGAATTCAGTTTTCAATTAACAATGTTTTTGTTTTTTTAAAAAGAAAAGAGGCAGACTCATCACTTCCTTTCCATTGTGTTCCTTTATTACCACGTTTCTGGAGATAACTTAATCAGGAAGCAAAAAATATACCAGACAATAAAGTACTAAAAATCTGAGATAGAAATAACACCCCCTCCCCCCAAAACAAGCAACCCAGCGACCCTTCGACCCTCCTCCTCCTTTTCCTGCTGCTGCCGTCCTCTGTGGGTTTATGTGGCGTATCGCTTTGTCCACTGTTTGGCTGTTCGGTCATGTTCTGCTCTGTTAGTCGTGTATTGGGTGGCGATGCTTCCCACCAGGGGATCGGCTGGGTGAACAGAAGAAACGGGAATAATCAGAATAAATTGGAATAAATTACTTTAGAAACATTTCGTCTGGAATGCATGTGCAGTACATTCAAATCTGTTCTTCCGATTTGCCATCTAAAACCTCCAAATGACAGTTTAAGTTATAAATTAACATTCCACCATGTTTGGAATTAAAATTCAGAGCTCCCGGAAGCGTCTTCATGGCAGGGCGAAAAGGTTCGATAGTCTCTTTAATACAGATTAAAAACTTCAAATAAAAAAAGCTCGTAGGCTGGTCGGCAACAATTTAAGACTTGGAAAACATTCATTTCGACACCACTTTTTCATGATCTCTGTGCATGAATGCTACAAAAACAAAAAACTGAAGCAAATTAAAAGGTTTCAATTGTTTAAGAAGTTTTTTGTTTTTTTTAATTATTGAACATTTGGATCTGAGCAGTTTCTCAGTGACACTGACTACTGTACAGTCCTCATGCTCTTATTTTGAAAGATTAGTCATTCTCATACAACTGCAATTTACTTTTTTGGAAAAAATAAAATGATAAAATTGATGGTTTACACAAACTTGAGTCACATGTTTCCATTTTATGAAATCATGTAAATGTTTAGGTGGACCGTCAGCTGGAATTCACATCACATTTCTAAAACTGCACCTCACTTTGAACTCTGCCTTCTTTCTTAATGCTTCATAAAAGCTAAATTACACCCTCTCTTTTACAACACGGCTGCTGTCTTGTCTTTCAGACAGGTTCTCCTCACTGGTGAATGAATCAGAGTAAAACTTTTATGCTAGCTGCCTGCAGCAGCATGCTGAGCACATAAAATCTGACCGCGTTTACAATGTGCAGCTTTGGGGTCATGAGATCAGAGTTCACAGCTGTGGAAGGTATGTGGTAAAAATACGGGGTCATCAATTCGAATGGTTGTCAAAGCAGCGGTGCGACGCACACACCTGCAGTAAATGTGGAGCAGCAGGCTATTAAATTTGTATCAGTTTCCCACAGTGTGACAGTAACAGCGCATGTCAGTGACTGAGCAGGGTGAGGAAAAGAGGAAAACTTTGCAGCGCCTCATTTTTAGAATCCCTGACCTGAAGCAGCCAACTGGCAACAGTGCTGCTATTCACCAAAGACTCTTCAGTCTCACACTAAGTAAGATACCAATAAAACCAGTGTGACATGCATTAGGGAAGGATCACTCCTTTGGCTTCCAATGACGATGAACTTTTTTTTTTACTGCCTCAGGAGACCTGCACATTGGTGACGGGACAAGTGACAGAGAGCTGACAGCGGCGATCCTGACAGTGCCACGATTAACAGGCTCAATCTGAAAAACTTTCACGGCTTTTACTTCTGTCCAGTGAGTCTGCCCTTTTTGGAGGTACAAAAACCCACTGCTGTAAAGAGAAATGATGCAGTTGATTTGATGATGCACTGGAAAGAGTGCGCGTTTCACAATTGTAAACCTGTAAAAAGATCATTAACGACTTGACATCTGAGGGTCTCTCACCTCTCTGCTTTTGGCAGCAATGAGGTTTGTCACATGACGTGATGCAGGCATTGCTCAAGAGTTGTCCGCCATATTGAATGTGACAGTTGGTGGCGAATTGCCATGGTTACCTTTAGTTTTTCAAGTTTGTCTGCAAATACTTGCTAATGATTAGCCGAGTGGTGGTAAAACCTGAAGTTTTACAAACTGGAAATGGAAAAAGTTCAGCTCTCAGCCAACATGTTTTCAAAAAGGGGCAACATTTTATCTTCCCTCCTCCTGTTTGTATCGCACTTCTCATTTTCATTACAGCTCAGCGGGACAGTGTTTTGAGGACCAGTCTGTCTGTAACGCAGCTTCTTCCATTACTCTACACCAGCGGTCCCCAACCTTTTTTGTCCCATGGACCGGTTTAATGTCAGACAATATTTTCACTGACCGGCCTTTAAGGTGTCGCGGATAAATACAACAAAATAAAACGACAGGACCAAAATTACAACAACAAAAAAAAAAAAAAGTATTGTGTAAATGTGTAACTTTATTAGCAGCGTCCTCCTGAAATGCACTAACCACATCGAGAGTAACATCCTCCTCTCTGCCCCTTAATACTCTCTGGTCGCTATGGTAATGCATAATTAATTCTTTCAAAATAAGACAAACAACTACAACACAGGAAAAGACCCAGGGAAACAGAGTTAACGATAAAAACCCTGAAAATCATAAATTTCACGACCGAGCCTCAACTCTCACAGCCCGGTACCGGTCTGTGGCCCAGGGGTTGGGGACCACTGCTGTACCTTACACGAAGACGCTACATATAGGAGTTATACTTTTACATTAAATCTACACCATAAACAATGAATAAAGTTTTTCAATAAAAAACACCAGCTGGCCCAAGCCTGGATGACCCAGTTTTCCCTTCACTGCGTTTGTTTTTCATGGGCATCAGATTACATTGAAATAAATCCATGTTTCTTAATGAGTAATTGTCAGATGTTACAGCTGTTACAAAAATACATCTTTGCTTTCTGAGTACTCAAATGATGCAGCTTTCATCAGCGTGCATGTCTTACCTGGGTTACAGTCAGTGAGCAGGGAGCAGATGGACAGCAGCACCTTGGAGATGGTGAGCGCGGGGCTCCAGTTGTCCTTCAGGATGTCCAGACAGATCACCCCCTGACTGTTGATGTTGCAGTGATAGATCCTGGTACGGAAAGTTACCTGCAGACACAAAGATCCTGCATGAAAAACACTTAAAAAGAAAAAAAAAAAAGTCTGTACTGTGTTCTGCATTTCTCTTCAAACACTCCTGTATTGATCACTTTCACATGTGTTATTAAAAACAAAATGAAGCACTCACACAGCTCAAAATATGACAAAATATTTGTTCTGTGTAGAGAATTTCAGTCAGCGTTGGACTGCAATGAAACCTCTTCAGTAGACAAAAGCCCCCTAGTGGCTGAAAAGAAGTACGTCATCTTAACTGTCTTGGAAGGAAACCTCACTTTTCCTTATCAGTACAACAATCAGCCATAAACAGTGAGTCATTTACAGTAAATGTTCCGTGTCAAAACTGAATGCAAAATTATTGTGGAACAAGTGAAGTGTGGAAAACATTTGGAGGAAATTTGAGTCCTTTTCATCTCAGCGTACAATGTCTAATACTCATTCCCCCCCAAAGAGACGAAAACACTCAGTTTATGCGCTACTGCAGCGTGACTCAAGATTTCCAAGAATGATAATCGGTTTTTGTCTCAGTTGGTCATCTCTGGTATTTATCATGCTGTATCACTTCTCACAGACATTAAATATAATCTAAGACTAAAAAATAAATTACAGGAAACACACAGAGAACCCCACCAGGGTGATGGTGGGGTTCCCCCAAATCAATTTTACACCCACCTGAAGTGCCACAATCTAAACCCTTAATGTTGCTTTTTTTCATGATTACTTTTGTTCAGTAGCAAAACTGCAATAACTCAATGTGTGTAGCGTGGAGTAGAAGAAACCAGCACTTCTTTTCTATTATAATTCACTGGAAAGCTTTCACAGGTCATGTCACCACGATGAACAGGTGACTGCTCAGAACAGAACTTCTGAGATGTCTCATTTTGATCTACATTTGACACCAGGCTCATCATCTAACCATAAATAAAGTAATTATTTGTGTACTTTGAGGGCCTGTAACTTCAGTTTTTTCATAGTATGAAAATAAAATATTGCATGACAAAACAACAATCTGGGAGTCTGAGGGTTCAGATAAAAGACGATGACCAATTTTTACTAAATGACTCGCATGGTCATAAAATTTTCTCCTCAAATAACTTACTTATGAAAACAGCCAGTATATGTGTTTTCTTTTTACATGAATTTATATTTCCATCATGAACTGAAGCAGCAAAAGCACGAAATTAAAATCTGATTGCGTCAAGTGTCCCTAACTACAAACCCCAAACAAAAACCACCTACACAGACATGAATAGTAAAACGCTGTGATTATCAGAAATGTGCTTACATTTAATCTTCAGTTTTGCTTTTGTTTAACAGAGCAGATTTCCTGTTGATATTTACATAACAAAATAAATTTTACTCAAAAATAGAGACCAGATGTTTATTTTATTAAAACTAAATGTAATAAATGGGCCAATTAAGTATAAAGGGCTATGCTTCAGGTTTAAATTAGTCCATTTTTAGCATCATTTAATATTTTGTGGTGGTTTATTACTTAATTTGTAATCCCATCAGAACAGGTTGTTTCCCACTGCTGTTTGGGCTTTTTACCATGTATTTGTTTTGTTTCATTCCACTGGGAAACGGTCTTGATGAAACTATACACATCCACTGGGATGAGAGTTTTCACTGTCACCGCTGTGACTCTGTATGTTTAAAAAAAAATGCTGCTTAAATCATTCAAATAATCCTCTGGGGAAAAACAAATGAAACACTCGTCCAGTCATTTGTAAACTCTGTAAATGTGTGATGCTGATCCAGAGTAAGCAGCTGAAGCAGTTATATGATGGAAAAAGAAAACGCTTCCATTTAGGAAACAAAAGGGGCGACCATGGCTCAGGGGGTTGGGAAGCGTATCTGTAACCGGAAGGTCGCCAGTTCGATCCCCGGGCTCTCTGTCCTGGTCGTTGTGTCCTTGGGCAAGACACTTTACCCTACCGCCTACTGGTGTTGGCCAGAGGGGCCGATGGCGCGATATGGCAGCCTCACTTCTGTCAGTCTGCCCCAGGGCAGCTGTGGCTACAACCGTAGCTGCCTCCACCAGTGTGTGACTGAATAGTGGCATTGTAAAGCGCTTTGGGTGCCTTGAAAAGCGCTATATAAATCCAATTCATTATTATTAACATGAAATTGCAAACATTAGCATTAGCACAAAATAAAAAGAATAATGCATAAATGCTTGAATTGGAAAGTAGAAGCACCGATTTCCCAGAAATCTGGACTGAATCCACTTTTTTTTTTTTTTTTAAACTGTGTTTGGGATAATTAGGCTGTAATTTTAGAGGTTAAATGTGACCATCATGAGCTGCTGTGTTGTTACAAAAGCAAGAGGAGCAGGGTCTCAGTAAAAGCAATCTGGCAAACAAAAGGTTGTACAATGTGTTTTTTTGTGTGTGGGAGTGGAGCTGGAGGCTTTTTTGTGCTATTTGAATATGTATTCTATAGCATATTTAATACAGTGTGCCTAGAGAGGGCGTGTTTTCTCTTAAGAGATCCGTGTTTATAGTCACCGTCGCTAATAAAGAATAAAGCTAAGTTTTACTGAAGCTTGGAGCATCATTTTGTTTTAAAAATAAAATGATCTGGTGATTTTCACATTCACAGGACTGGTTGTCAGAAAATTGTGTGTACTACAGAGCTTCACAATGTTAAAACCTCTCAGCAACATGCAATGAAGCACAAAATCTACAGCTTAAAAAAAAACAGACCAACAGATGATTAATACGGTACTCTTGTTTGAGTAATGACTGAAAACCACAGTGCTTATCTGTGTCAAGAATTTTTTTTTTAAATGAGACAACATATTTCGTGTAAAGTCCTGTATCCTGGTATTATGAAACTGTACAGTGTCTCAGTGAGAGGTTAGCAAAGGTAACTAAAACTCGATGTGAAAAACATTTTAATTAGGCAAAATAAAAATTTAAATTATACTATGTCCAATATATTTCTGAACATGCTCAGTTTTGTCTTGTAAAAACTAAAAACTAAAGTAAAACCACAGGAAAAAATAAAGTGAAAGAACCAAGCCCACACTGGAAGCAATCTGAAACTGAACTGAAAACATAAATAAACACCAACGTGTTTTTGGAACAGTGTGGGGATGGAGATTTAACTGGAAGTCAGTGTGAACAGTTTTTTCTTAATTATTTGTTTCCCATTTTTCTGGAAATTATTTATGACAAAAAATCCCTTTGGGATATGTGTGTTTATTAAAAGAAGCACACTGTATATTTCTACTTTTCCTGCTGTTTGAAATAAATATATTCTTGATAAGAAGCGAGCAAATGTGTAGCTAATAAAGCTCCATCTTGGTATCTGATAAAACTGATTCTTCATAAAGTAACACATCTGTTTTCTCAAGTTAACAGATGTGCTGACTTGAGAAAACAGACGGGTTTTTTGTTTTTTTTCCCCAACCCTGCACTGTCAAACTTTACACCGTTATGCAGAGCTACTTTTATATCAGGTGACATCTGTTTGTTTTGCTTCATTTAATAACCCAACCTTCCAACTTTTGGGTTAAACATAGTACACCTTGTCTTTTAAATCAAATATAGTCCTTGAACTCGATTTGATGTTGTTATCTAAAACCCTGCAGCTGAAACAGTTTCAGTCCAAACACCTGCTGCCTGCTTCTGAGGTACAGTTAACAGACATGAGGTTCTAGTATTGTGTATCAGTACCTTGGGGGGTTTAAAGGGGTAGTCGGGTGTGAAGGCGATATCTAGGAAGAAGACGCCTCCCTCGTACACAGAGCCCGGCGGTCCCAGGATGGTCGACCTCCACTCATAGATATTGTCTCCTTTTGGACCAGCACTGCAATCAGAAGGATTAAATTCATTTAAACTGGATTTATGTTCTGGTGAAGCCACAAAAATATTCTGAAAACATCAAGGTACACTTAGTTTATTGCACCACCCACATAAGCCTAAAATACAATATTTATTTGCTGCTGTGCCATGAGTCACATTTTAAAGAATGAAAGTTCTAATCTTTGTCGGTCATCTCTGGTGTTTATCATACTACATCAATAATAACGAAGGAGGGGGAAAAAGCTTTGCCGATACAAATCTCATCTGCAAACAGACAACATCCACAGAGCAGACACACCGACGCAAATGAAGTCAGAAAGGGAGGAAAGAAACAAAGAAGAAAAAAAAAAGACACCCACACACAGACTGTAGATTACAAGCTGCACAGTGGATGTGCATCAGCGGCAGTGATCAAAGCAGTGTGTACTACAGTATGAAAGTCACATTCATTCACATACTGTGTGTATAAAACACAATGAATCACAATAAAATTCACGTTTACTGGCAGCACGCCGAAGAAGGCGTCAGAAAGCAGCTAAAGCTGATGATAAATGCCGCGTTTGTAATTCGACAGATGAATTCAGTGGGCTGTTAAAGGGAAATCCCACCCAAAGTACCCCCCCCCCCCCCCCCGTAAAAACGACATTTGACAACACCTCCTGTAACCTTAGCGATTAGTTCTAACATCTCAGTAAAGATCTGGTTTTAATAGCCATTAGAATAGTATCCGGATTTTTCTAAAGGTTGCTGCACAGGCAGCGACCTCCCTCGCTAATGTCTGATGCACAGCCAATCATTCTGTTCTATAAGCAGACCTGAAATATGACAGAAACCTCTCAGTTCAGAAAAGAGCTTCAAGAGTCACTCCTAACCATTTTAAAAGCAAATTTTTGTCTTACTAATGGTCATCTTACTTACAACTTTCCATCTGCTGCCCAGACAGAAGGAGAGAAAAAAAAACTACATGCACATGAAGCTGGAAAATAAATATTTAATTCGTCATTGTTGACGCTAATTTACATTGTCCAATTTGAAAAATGTGTAGCTGAAACACTCTGTTACAGAGAAGGAGAAAATGGGAAAGAGGAAAACAAAACTTTTTGTATTTTGGGGTGCAACGATACTCGTATCGATATTGAACCATTCGATACAGTGCTTTTGGTTTGGTACGCATATGTATCGAACAATACAAAATTTGTAATTTATTTTATCAACTTTTCTTCTGACGATGCTGTCTGTGTTGAGAGCTCAGTGGATCTGCGTTCGACTTATCTGCCTAGGCTGCACTGTCGAGCGCAGATCCACTGAGCGCAGCGCAAGCTAGCGAGACAGAAGCTAAGCTCGTTGCAACATGGCAAATTGAACCTCCCCCACCCTCATTCAGGCGTTTGGAACTATTTTGGTTTTCATGTGAAGTATGACCCTGAAGGTAAGCGCGTCATGGACAAATGTATAACACTATGTCGGATGTGCCACGCAATGCTCAATTACATTGGTGGGAACTAGTGCGTTAGCGCAGTTAGCTTGTTAACATGTTGACGCCATCCAGCCGCACGCACGGGGCGATCCGCGGTAGCTCGTTAACGGAGATTTGCCGTGTTGTGGCGTTAACGTAATTTCAACGAGATTAACGCTGACGAAAAAGTATCGAACCGTGACACCAAAGTATCGAACACACATTCAGCAAATGTATCCGTTTGGCTGTTCTGTCTTGAAAACTGCAACTTCACGACTTCCCTACATGTGACACGTGTGGGAAACATCTGTAAATTCCATTAACAAACACTGGACAAAAAAAAGAGAAGCACTGTACTTGTAGCATATTTTCCTTCAAACATAGAGAGTCGAAGCTTTTTCCCTTGAGCATCATTCAGAAGATGCCAGAGTTGAAAGCAAATCCCCAGTGATGCATCTATGCCTCATGATCTGTAATCTGTATTGATTTTTCCTCAAAGCAGCCCAGCCTTTATCCCTCTGACATGTAGAACATGCGGCTGTGAACCCCTCAGGGTTCATTGCTATGAGCCATAATATCAGTATTGATTGAAAGCTCCTGTGGTGCAGCAGGGACGCTGGGTAGGGTTAGATATTGCGCTCTTCTGTTCGCTTTTAATCAAGGTTAGCACAGAGCTTCACTGCCAACGACAACATGGAATATCGATCCAGGGAGAACCGTCTGGACTAATTATCTGGATGTTAAAAGATATAGCAGCAAATGTGATAGATGAAAGGCTCTGACTTTCAAGTGGATGAATTCTAATTATAAGACTCTTTCCACACTGCTAATCAGTTTAAAGTAGCACCCTTATGAGACATTAATGTTGCCGTCATATAGGATATGACTTACTTGAGCTATATTGGTCTAAGATAACTGGACTCCACCTACCTCTTTTATGGGTTAAAACAAGGTGGTGCATAGTTTGAAAACAGCAGGATGGCTATCATGTTTGCACTATAAAGTGTCTTCAAAAAGGACCTTTGAAACAGTCGCAGTACTGTTTAAACTAGAATGACCTTATAGGACAGGAAGTGACAGGGCCAGCTACTCTATCATGATCTCTAAACTACATTAACTTTTTAAATGATTTTAAATATTCTGATTTTTTTTAATGAGGTGGATTTGGCCTGAAAACATGATTTGTAGAATAAGATGTAAACCTGTCACCTGTAGCAGGCAGATAATACTGAATTATTGTTATTGACTCAGATTGTACAGGCCAAAAATCAATCAACCAACAATTCAGCAGGCTGCACCTTGCCTTAAGTCACCTGTTACAAAAAAACAAAACAAAACAAAAAAAAACTTTTCTTCACTATGTAAAAGTCACGAGTTAAGACAACAGCTAGATTATCTTCATTTGATGATTCTGTGCCAGGATTGAAACAAACAAACAGCTCTTATAATGCTTCCTGCCTTCACAACATAGACAACATCTGCAGTGGCTTCTAAACTTGTTAAACTACTGAACAACAATTAAAAGAGAAAACAAAAAACAAAAACAACACACCGTAGGGTGACTATTAGATAAACGTTGTGCTGTGTGCATCCCTGTAGCCAACAGTCTGATTTAGTAAACAGGCTGAAACTTTTCTAAACACATGGCACGTCGAGTAATGTGAACATGCCTGAAGGGGACCATTTTCGGCTGTTTGCCACATGTGAGAAAGGAGCATCTGTGGGAAATATCCTGACCTCATTCTCCTGTCTATAAAATGTCTGAAAACAGCTGGACATCTACAAAAGCGAGAATCAGGTAGAGGCAACAACATGAAAGTGGCCAGTTTCTGTCTGATGCCTGAAGGAGCCCGAGAAGCTGCTGTTTTCTGAAAAGTGGCAGCAGTAACAACTGAAGTCAAAGCAGAAACTGCCGTTTCTTTTAGGACTGTGGCTGTGAACTGACACCAATTCCTGTTTCTTTCATTTATCTGCAAACATCCAGACAGCGTTCATTTGTGTGATGGTCTGTAGCCTGAGGTTGTTTGTCTGATCTGCTGAGCCACAGTGAGACAGATTCCTCTCCCTCTCTCCCTCCTTTCAGAGAGAGGTCAAAGGTCAGACGCAGCTGCCGAACAGCCACCTGGAGTGTGGCGGGGCTCAGTGATTTGCCTGAGGACACTGCAGGCAAAAGCTAAACTCAAACATGTCAGTTTTAAGCACAGTCTTTCCGATCACAGTGGTGCATTGCTACTTTTAACATTTAAGGACTAAGTTATTAAATAATCACTACTTTTCCCCGAGAATCTGAAGTGGTATATTTAGTATACTGACTGTTAATGTAAAATATCTCAGAATAAAAAGATTAAAACTGGATTTGTGTGTGTGCAGTTTGTAAAGTGTCTAAAGTGAAGATTTCTAGTTAAAAGTATAATAAGAAAAAAAAAAAAAAAGAGTCCTTATGTATCGTATATGTTTAGAAGTTTTTAGTTAGAAACTAGTATTTAGTAATTACAAACATTTGACATAATTACACTAATCATTACAAGCTCTCTGAAATGTTTGTGTTTAAATATGCAAATACGGAAATGCATGCAAGTATGCATTAAATAGAGATGTATGAACACTGGGTAATGTTCAGATATCGCATCGTAAAGTGTTTAAAAAAATAAAAATAAATAAAAATAACTCTGGATATCCCATCTCTGCATAAATCTGACGTCGGTCATCAGTCAGAAAAAACCCATTTCACTTTTTTCAGGAATAAAATGCTCAATAAATCAAGTTGAAGGTGTTAAAAGAACACGCTTTTCAGCCAAAGCTCTGAGTGTATAGGCAGGAATACTACTGCTAAGCCTGGTGGACCTAAGAGCTGCTGAATAGAAGATTTCAGGATCAGAACATGAGACAATTTGTGAAAACAGCCTTAATATGTGCACATGATGGAATTCATTTTAACTGGACACTAGTATTCACTGCTTAAAAAAGTAATAAATATCAAACTTCACCAGTTGATTACTTACATAAAGACTTTTTTGCATTAGAGGCCCTAGTTCATTAAATATGCACTAATTTGTCTAACTTTGCATTTCCCCTATTGGTGCTCTAAGTCGGTGAATAAATACGTTTGGTTATGGAGACATACATGACATGCAGCAAAAACCCACATATCTACATTTCATAATATTCTAAGTAAATGATGAAAATGATGTTTCCCAACTAGCCCCAGCATCTTGACCTGACCTTACAAGCTGAGCTCTAAATAAACTCAGTGCAGCAACTTTGTGAATTCTGGAGAAATAACCCTGCAATGCTTTCTAAGAATGTACACAGGTGTTAAATATAAGGAATATCTTGGAAACAGCAGCCAATTATTAGTTTTAGATTAAAAAATATATATATATATTTTATCTCCACAGCGGACAAATTCTGAAAAAACGTTAACCATTGTAATTATGATCTGGATTTGACCACAGTATTGCTCTGTATTGTATATTACAGTGGCTGGTATCTGAGGAAAAATACAGTGATGGGTTTTATTACCAGTGCAGCTAGGTAGATAATTGACATGTGGTACAGAGTGAAACCCACCTGCAGTTTGGTGGAGGGTCCAGTGTAATGTCAGCCAGCTCTTTTTGAATCCTGCACATCAAAGAAATAGTCAGTTACAGTAATAATTACTCCAGAAATCACAGAATTTACGACTCAGACCCTCTTATTTAAATGTGAAATTTACATATTCACTTAGGGATTAATTAATGTAATTTCTGCTACAATTCCTTGTGTAAAAGACCAAGTGTTGGTGAAAGTGAGACTGAAAGTGCAAATATATAGATATAGACAGACACACAGAGACACACACACACACACACACACAGAAGAGAAAAGGGAAGTGCTAAAAGACAATCTTGTGGTGTGCTGAAACACATGTCTCTAATGGACTTCTTCTTATAAATTATGTTAAAATTTACCCCTAAAAATAAACCCACAGAATTTTTGTTAACACAGAAACCCCCTAACAATCAAATTCTTGAGATTAAAGAGAATTACGGGGATGTCCTTGAGATACTTCTGATTTATGGTTTAGGTTTTTTTACCGTTTAGCGCTGGTGGAAAGCAGCTTGGAGTTCTTGCTCATGCTGGCTTTGCTCTCCCGTTTCTTCTTGCAGAAAGTGTCCTTCTGTCTGGTCTGGCTGGAGGAAGGCGGCGATGACGAAGAGCTGGTGCTGGCACGGGAGTCTTCATCCGACATACCGGTTTGGTTTGGAGAAGAGCCGGAACCTAAAAGGTGGAAAGCCGAAAAGATTCAGAGTCATTTCTAAATGGGGCTTTTGTTAATTTGACCTCCAAGCAGCCATTTAATAAGCCACTTCCATGTTGTGAATGTTTAGAAGCACAGCGGAGGGTTGAGGAAGAAAAATAGAGCTTTAAACCACCTTCATTTGCAGCTGAAGGTTTTTATGTGAATGTATGGCAGACTTAACAAGAACTGGCTGAATTCTCCAAATACTGAAGCAGAGGAGACACCAGAACATCCTTTATGAAAGAAAGAAGCTCATAACCAAGTCTGAACCGAGACTATACATAAAAGTATTACTAGTTCTGGTAAATAGACTGGTTCTTATAGAGCACTTTTCTACTCTACTGAAGCATTCAAAGCACTTTATACAACATGCCTCGTTCACCTATTCACACCAGCACTTTTTTCTATGCTTAAGTGCTTTCTATCTAACAGAATGTGAACTTGTGTTAATATCTTCTGACCTCTTCTACCCCCTGAGCTACAGCCTCCAACATTTTCTGTTTGAGCTTTTCTTCAACCTCAAAATGATCCAAAGCATATTTGATGTTTGATATTGTACCACAAAATCTCATTGCGGTCCAAAGAATTTGTTCATATTTAATTGACCAATACAACTTATAGAAAATAAAATTAGAAAAAAAGATCACCTAGATGGTGATAAAATATATATGTGTTTTATTTACTGAAGTATAAAAGTGTCTTAAACAGGGGTTTCCTGGCATTTTTTAAAGTCTGTTTCAATATACTCAAACTTAAAATAGTTTTTTAAATGATCAGAATTAACAGAGTCACAGAGCTCTGTCAAGCAAGTTAACGCAGACCCTTTGTCTTTATAAAGGTCAGAGTTGTCCTGGATCACTGATGGGAATTGGTTTCACTTCAGGGGCTATTTATGCATTTTAAAGTCCATCTTCTGGACATTGCAGTTTCGCCACAGAAGGTCGACTTCAGCAACATCCGGGGGGTTGTAGGAAAGGTGATCAGCAAAACGAGGTGAAAGTGTTTTGACTATTTAACAGCAGCCCCGTGGAGTTTTTTTTTTTTTCACCAAATCCGAAGCGAAAACGAACCGTTCAGCTCCAGCTGCCCTCAGAGGGCGTAATTAAGCTGGTCTTCCGTCTCTGATCGACGGTGGCCTCAGAAGAGCACCAGCTGATCGGTTTTCGAGACGCGGCGATGCGAACGTTTCGCTGCGGCTGAAATCTTTCGATTTAAGCGAACTCGATTTCGCGAAAACGTCGCTTCGACTCGATTAACTGGATGCAGTTGAAGTAATTTAGGTTACGTAATAAGTCAACAAAGACAACACGTAAATGTGAGCAATATTTAGCGACTGTCTGTTCAGGTTGTGGGGGTACGCGTGTGGGAGAGGAGGTAGCGCAAACAAAGCCGTTTGCGAATGCTGATTTAACGTTAGCGTCACGGAAAACGTTAGCTAACGTTAGCAGACGAACAAGCTAGCTAGCTAGCGCTATGTACACTAAAACGAATAATTTCACAGCCAAGAAGCTCAGTGTGCCTGACGAGGGGTCAATGCTAAAAAATTCAGATGATTTTAAGTTTATCCCTGTGGTGACACCCTCCACCAAAGCTAATGCTACCGGCTAACGCCCCCCTTGTCCCCTCAGATCTCCCCACTCTTACCCCAACTTCAACTAGCAAAGACTCTGGCCTTCTGCAGTAATATATATTTAAATGTCGGGTTGTGCAGCACCACACATGGTTGCATCGTATTCTCGTATATCAAACTTGTCGTATGAAGGGTGTCAGTTTGAGAGTGAAACATTAAATGCGTTAGGTACTAGCCGGGAGCAACAGCTGCGCTCCAGCACATAGTCGGAGCCCGTTTTCCGTGCGACTAAGTGATAACCGCGACCTTCTCGTTCGTGTGCTCCTCTCTTTTTAAACCATCGACTTCGACTGAAAAAACACACGCAGAGACGCAGACAGTTCACATGAGTCTGATAAATAAATGCCATTAAGCCATTTTTTATTCGCTAATAAAACTTACCCACTCTATTGTGTCTGGACCTCCGCCACAGTAGAGGCTAGCTGGCTGGTGCTTGTCGCCCTCTGCGGAACGGAAGTAGCCTACCGCGGCTGCAGTGGGCTGAACTGCACCGGTCGTACTCTGGAAACAGTACAGGCCTGCAGCGAGTGCTTCACGCAGGTTACATAATATTAATAATAATTTTAAAAAAAGTTCATTTCGGGCGCTGCAGTCCAATTCAGTACACAAGAAGAAAGAGTAATGATTAGAAAACAAACAGGCAGTTGATTCTGTGTTTCTAGAAACAGGAGGAATATCTTAAAGTTGGCTCAGTTGCAGCTATCATTACTGCACCTTTAATTAATCAGCACATTCATTAAAGCATTTTAAGCTTGAGCAAAATCCCGAACGCAGCATTACACAGTCAGGGCCGTGCATATTTGGACAATGACACTGCTTTTGTCTTTTCTCCTGCACACCAGTAACTGTGCAGTGAAGTGCAGGCTTCCAGGCTGATTTGAAGGGGTTTAACGAAAGTATTGAAGTAAGTGTCTCATACATACTACCGCCTTAGAGGCTTAAAAGCAGTTGACCAAGAAGCCATTTCATACATGGGCCTTTCCCTTATTATTCCATGAAAGATCTCAAAGACGTCTCTTAGGATATAAATATTAGACCCAACAGCTGAAGGAGGCTGAAGAAGAAAAAAAATCAATAAAGCAATAAGAGCAAAAAAAAATAAAAAATAGCAGTAGCCAAATCAACAATCTAGCACATTATGTGACCTGGAGGACCACAGAAGGCAGCTAAAGTGCATGGGCTAGATTTACCAAACAGTTTGTGAGGTGATTATTACACACTGGTCACATTTGCAATACCTAAAGCAGATAATCTGAAAAGTGTGATGTTCTGTCTGCTGTATTCAGGAGGTCTTATTTAACAGATCTTTAGCTATGACTAAGCTGCTGCCTCATCGGCCACAGAAACTGACAAAAAACCCACTTAAACTGACCACATGTCTGTGGACTCATCCAATAATTACTCACAACGTGTTATTGCAGGACCACGAGTTGAAAGTATTGCAACCAAAATTGGCACGAAAGCACATTTTCACAGTTTTGAAAGGTTAATGGCGAATAGTTTGTATTTCTGTGTTAAAGGCGCATCAATTCTCTGCGCTTGTGCCTGCCATTATGTGCAAAAAACAAAACAAACAAACAAAAAATTCAGGCCCTTGTTATTTGGGCTGACCGTGGCTCAATTACTGATAAATTACATATTAATAGATTTGTAAGGGAAAGGTGCCTTGCAGCTGTTAAATGACCCACGAAGTACATCATGATGCAGTTACCTGTGGAGGGTGCGCAGGTTTAAGAGGTTAATGGGGTAATTTAGTCAAACGGTGACTACTGCTGTGCTTTGACAGTGGAATACTATTTTCTTTAACCAATTTCAAGTGTTGTTTTCAAGGTTTTTGACTATCTGTTTAGGCACTTCAGTGAAGTTATAAAGTACATCGAGTGGAAAAATTTAGCCTAAAATGCTGTAATGGACTGAAATTGCAATACAATTCTCCTTTATTATCTTGGAAAAAAACATGTACTGTACGCGGGCAATAAGAACAGCATGGGAGCCAGCAAAGGTTAGATTGCTGTTTTAAAAGCAACACATCAACCTAATCCTGTAATCTAATGTGTGGTAAAAAATGCAGTTGTTTTAAGCACCAATTTAGTCTGAGATGGAGACTTTATCTCGTTTGGCGAGCAGCCTTCTGGCCAGTCTTACAGTCTAATGGCCACATTATTACTTATGCAAAGCACCAGCCAATTGGAGCATTAATCAGGAGAGCAAGCGAAATACCAAAATCTGTAAGAAACAAGGGATCAGTCAGCTCTTGTTCTGTTGAAAAGGCTTAAAAGCTTTTTGCTCTATATCTCATTTATGATTCAAACATGGCACACTGCCAAAATATATTGTGTGAAATACTACAAAGTTTAGTTTGTGTTTTTTTTAATCCCCCTTCAGGTCCATTCTTTTGTTTTGAATATTTTACTAGTTCTGGACTCACTGTGGACCCCAGTTCACATACATAAAAAATCCTTTTTAAGGACTGGATATTTATTTTCTTGGAAAACATCATCAATTCTACCAATAAGCAGAAGGGATGTACTGACCGTTTAATGGAGAGAGAAAAAAGTACATGAACCTTTTTATTAGAACGGTATAAACCAGGGGTATCAAACATAAGGTCCCCAGGCCAATGGCACACTGAAAGGTCCAACCGGGCCCACTGGAGGCCTTTTCAGAGTGCAGAAATTACAAAGGGCAACTTTTGGCTGTATTTCGCATCAGGAGAGCTTTTTTTTCTGAATGGGTCATTGCAGCTTTATAACTTTTCTACTAAGGTGGTTACGCCAAAGAGCCACCGTGATGCGTTTCTGTGTTTTAAAACAGTAATCTTCCTTTGAAATGACAGTACACGCCACCATTTGCTGGTCCCCCCAGCGGCTCCCTGGCAAGACGGTCCTATGTTGGTGATATGTTAAATAAATGTGAGCACAAGAGAGAGGAGACATCCTACAATGAGCTGAAACATTAAGTCATTTATTTCTGCATATACAACTTCCCCTCACGATTTCCTGTCGCCACCCCTCCCCCTCCCTGCACTGTTCTGTTTTTAGTGACCCCCCCTACATGGCCACCTCTATTCTTAAAAAAAATATATCCGGAAAAAAAAAAAGACATTTTCAACTCGCACCATTTTCCAGGAATATTTTGTTATATTTTATGTTCTTTTTTTTCCTGGCATGAAAGGAAGGAAACATGACGACATTTTGAACATTTCTGGTTGGTCTCTCCACCTCACCTACATGCACTTTATTTTCTTTTGCTGAACAAGTGACAAACCTCATAATAAATCAAGTTAAAGATGAGCTTATTATGGTTATTCAACCTTTGAATGGTCTCCATATGAATATGTCCATGTGAATTCCTATGGTTAAATGATTGTGTAATAGTTTTGGTCGTCGTAAACAGGCTAAAAGCACAGGTAACTCAATAAAAGCAAACTTTATTTTTTTAAATAAATTCTAAAGTTGTTTTTAGTTCAGTTGACTAAATTAATTAATTAAGTCACGTCCTCTGGAGCTAAAAAAAGAAAAAGGAAAAAGAAGAAGCCAGTGTGCCAGAAAAACTGCAGTTCCATTAGTGGCCACTTGAGGCTGGTTCCAAAACAGCAGAAATAAATATTTTTACAGTCTGGACTAAAAGGGCTTGGGTCTCTATAGTTAAGTTAACTTTCCCCTTGATCACACATCCGAGGGAGTGAGGGGGTAATTTATTTGTTTATGTTTTTATACTCATCCATCTGGATAACAGCAATATATTCAGAGTTATTGAACTAGTCTAATGGAAATATTTGATAAGCAACACAACCTGCTATGAGACAAAGACATTCTAAGATCTTTGTCTTTTTCAGTTTTGATGGGTCAAGAGCTCAGATTTTATTAGCCTATAAGCACCCCCCCCCCAAAAAAAAAACCCAAAGTCAGCACAGCAGGAGCCAAAATTCTAATGGCTTCAATGACATAAAATGAAAACCAATCGGGGACTACATCCATCTTTTGCATACAGTCTCTGCAATATCTTCAAAAGGTTTGTCTTTCTGTCCACAAACTGAAGGCCCATTTTGAGCTTCTGAGGTGTAAGACTAGCTAACTTAAAAACTTCACATCACATTCATGTGGGTAATAAAATCTACCCCTCACCCAGTGTGTGCCAAGAAGTGCTGTAATGTTTATGACTGTAATGTTTCATAATCAGGCGTGTTCGCGTATGTGAAACATGCAACATCAGCAGTCAGGAGGTGCGCGACTGAATGAACAAGTGTAAATATTTAAGGGTGAAGAGATTGCAGTTACACACAGAGAGCAGAGCGTTTTCTCACAAGCCAACCACAGTGTGTTTTATTGGGTGCTTCAGTAATACAAGTGCACAACAAACCACTCTGCAATTGCAGAGGTGGCGGGTAGCCAGTAAATATACAAGTCCTGCCTCTTTCACAGGCAGACCTATACTTTTGCGGTCTGCCTCAAAAGCCTTTGAAAAAATACATACAGTACAAACAAAATCAGAGAAAGTTAAAAAGCATGAAGGAGCCACTTTCCTGTTCCATGCAGATATCATACTGGTGACAACCAAAAAAATAAAAACGAGGAAAACAAAGTAAAAGCATACTCTGCATGTTTGTTCCAGGTGCCACTAAGAAAATGAGAATACATAATGTATAGCTGAAGGACAATGCTTATGATAATTATAATATTCTGTGTTTTTTTTTCTCCAATACAATACTTCCAACATTCAGATATTGGAAAATAAAAATCCCAATCTACTCTTTGTATAAAAAAGAAGCTTTCAAGTCAACAAGGAACAAAGGACATTTTTTTGTTTTCTTTTGTTTGTTTTTTGTTTTTACACAGAAAAGGTAGATAAAAGAGGGAAGAAGAAGAAGAAGAGGAGAAAGAGGAGGAAGATGGAAGAGGAAGGGTGACAGGAGGGCAGATTTACCGCTGCACTTAGTGAGTGTGCTTTGACAGACTAAGGGGTGAGAGAGGTAGAGAGAGGTTCAGTGAGGGGTGAGGGAGGTGAAGGAGGGGGCGGGTCACGGCAGGGAGTCTATGTGGCGTATCTCTTCGTCCATTGTTTGGCTATTCTGTCATGCTCTGTTCTGTTGGTCAAGTACTGTGTGGCGATGCTTCCCACCAGAGGGTCGGCTGAAACAGAGAGAGAGAGATCAATAAATCTTTATTACAAACTCAAAAGTCCAGATGTAAAACAAACAACACGTCAAATAAAATAAGCAATGGAAATGCAGCATAACAGAAGAATGTAGATCATTATGGTTGAGCGCTCTGGTTGCCAAACAATATCAAACAGAGGCTCATTCAAGCAGTCACTGAAGGAAAACCTGTGGATCTTTATTTTGATGTGACTGATTAATCTTTCTTCATCACTGAACTTTGCCTGCTTTCATTAATTTTAGTGCACGGTTAAAGTTGTTGGATGTATTTAATGCTGACTAGCTGTGCTTTGTGTTACGGCCATTGGGAGTCCTAATGAATAAAGAAATAAACGAACTGTCCTAAAGAAATGGTTTCCAAAGTAACCGTTTTCCCCTAACTGGCCAAGAAAACCAAAAACAGCAATATTTATTCCAGCTCTTGAGATGAGTACACTCTGCTCTCCGGTTTAGACACATCCCTGCATGCTGGAGGGCTGCTGTCAGATGGCAGCAACGTTTACAAGGAAACTGCCTCAATCTTTAAATTTGGCAAACTAAACAAGCTGTTTATCTGCACACACCGACAGACTTTCTTTCTTTTTAATCCTGCGAGTTCTTAATCCTAATCCTATGTTTCGGAGAAAAGCAAAAAGTACTTGTTGGTTAAAAATGTAAATGGGTTTTGACGTGTGTCTTTGGCTTCAGAGAACAAAAGCGACATTATCTGATAGCTCACAGTCAGGGTCCTCACTGATGATGGTTTAGACCTCAGAACCTTAAGTTAGATGCTTTGTAAAAGAAACCAGCTGTGGATGGGAGCAGCTGAAAAGATGTTTTTCCTTTAGCTTTTAAGCTTCTTGATAAGGTGGACTGATAAGATCTTCAGTGGCTTTTTGCCTGCAAAGTTTTGATTGCTTCACTGCTGCTGTTATAAATCTGTTTGTTGAGAAGACTTAAGGCTGCCTGGGCTGGACTTTAATAACTCTGATTCATGAACAAGTTCATGAACAGGTTTCCTGTTTTACACTTTGCACATGTCTATTTTTAGCCGCAAACGTCTTCCTGCTGTGCTTAGAATCATTGCCATCGTTGTTACGCTCTGCTACTGTGTGTAACATCACCACAGCCCTATAAACCATTTATCCTGGTGCTCTGTAGGTGTCACCATAAAGAACAAAAAGAACAGAACACAGCCCAACACTGGTACGGTCAAGAAAGCAGTCACACAGATTTTAAAGTTGTTTTTCCCAGAGTGATTAGTCTTTTGAAGATGCTGAAGCGGAGACTCTCTGAGCTTCTGTACGAGAGCAGTGAAACTGCAGTAAAGACCAAGCTGCCCGTACAAAGCAAGGCATGCACCTGCACTTTGGCTAGTGCTGCCATTCACCAGGGCAACAAAGGCAAGTATAAACTAGGAGTAAGAACAGGCTCTTATTTTGGTAACCGTAAACACTTCCTGTATTTGAAAACAGGATACACTTGAAAAAATATTGATGTCTAAACTTCTGACTTTCGGTACTTTAATTACATTTAGACTTTCCTTGTAATTTTGTTACACAAGTAAAATGTTAAAGTTAATGGAATTGGGTCAAATAAAATTTACTAGACTCATATAGATTGAGTTTATACCACACATATTTTCCTTAATGAATAATAAAAAGCTTTAAAAAAAAAAATCAATTTGATTTTATTAGAAACTACTGCTGAAGAGGGCCAATAATTATTTTTCTGAGTGTATTAACAGCAAACTAAAATCTCTGTTGTTCACGTTCACTTTAGCCTGTGAACTCAAGCTGCTGCTGGAAAAAAAAGTCACTGGACCAGCAGCTGGCCAAACCTCACCCGAATAACTTTTTTGCAGTATAGCTATGAGGAAGACTCTTTAATAGGGTCTCATCATACACTATACACCCAACAATGACTCAATTTCAAAGCATTAAGCTTAAAATTAGTGTAAATAACGTTAACATTTGATAACCTTACATTTTTCTACATAAAGTCCTGAGTTTCTGCTACTTCCTGTCTCACCTCTTCAAGTGTAGCTGCTTAATGGTTGCAGACACTGTGCAAACATAACATCTTGCTCTGAAGCCACAAAGCTAATAACAGCCCAGTGTTTTTTTTGGTTTGCTTTTTAACATGACATTGTGTTTTTTCTTATAAGACTGTGGGTCAGTTGTTCTTTCCTGGTGCGAAATGTGGTTTTGGTATTTACAACTTTAAGCTTCTAATTGTGCCAAATATCTGTCAGCATCTGACGGCCTTGGGGAAACAATGAGGGCTTGAATTGGCTGTGGTTTCCTTAATACACAGGAATAGTTAGCATTCTGGAAACATAAGACCACATTTCACATCAGAGTTAAGTAAAAACAAACACTGCATTCAAAGGACAGAAAGAAGGAAATGAAGACAGAACAGTTACCTACATTAAAAAGTCTCTGGCCATAACAAACAGCATTAAACAGATACCTGGGTTACAGTCTGTGAGCAGGGAGCAGATGGACAGCAACACCTTGGAGATGGTGAGGGCGGGGCTCCAGTTGTCCTTCAGGATGTCCAGGCAGATCACCCCCTGACTGTTGATGTTGCAGTGATAGATCCTGGTACGGAAAGTTACCTGCAGACACAAAGACAAATGCACTTTAGAGAAGAAGGGCTTTAAAAAAGAAAATAAGAGAAATATTTGAGATTTTCCCATCAGTGTTGTTTATGTTTTTATTTGGTGATCTCTGCATTAAACAAAACATGAGATCCCTTTTTCCCTTTGCCTTGTGGACATCATACCAGGTGAATCCAGAGCTGATTGTCAAGGCAGAGCTGTTGATTTACTGGCTGCTCTATGTAACCACCCTCAAATATCACTGTGAGCTCTGGGGAGAAAAGAATAAGACTCCGGGTACAAGGGGTGGAAATGAGCTAGCTATGAAAGAGCTCCCCTTAGAGACAGGACGAGGAGCTCGGTCATGCAAGAGGGACTCTGAGTAGAGCCGTTACTCCTCCAAAAGGATCCAATTAAAATGGTTCCAGCTTCTGATCAGGATGCTTCCTGGATGCCAGCTTGGTGAGATGCTTTGTGCAACACCAACTGGGAGGAGACCCTGGGGCAGAACCAGGACCTTGGCTTCCCTGGGAACACCTCTGTCTCTTCTCCAGAGAAACTAAAAGCAGTGGCATTGGGAAGGCATCTCTGCCTACACAATTAAGATTAAGGCACTGACCTCCCAGCCCATTGTTCCTTCAGTGGGCTGGTTTCAGTCATTATGCAAATGTACTGTTTATAAGATCAGCTGCAGTCAGCTGGGACTGAAGAAGTCACTTGGCTGAGTGACGAAACGTTTCTCCCACAAAACGCTACGTCCAGATGAGTAGAATCAACTTTTGGAGATTTACTTACCTGGATGATTGAGCACGCATCAAGACATCTCTGCCTACACTGTTAACCTCCCACCCCCCGGCACCTGCATCCAGATAAGTGGAAGTCCGTTTTAATTCCATAAACACTAACACTCAACCAACACTGAAAGCCACCACCCAGCAGAAGACGAGTAAAAAGGGCAACAAATGATTAAGCCTGTAAAACCAGCATGTTAGCTGTAAGTGGGATAAAATAAAAGATCTTAAAAAAAAAGAATATATTACCATGTAGCCTGATACTTTCAGTGATAATAACAGGTGAGACAGAGGAGGGCAGCTTAAAGGCTTTTCTCCGTTACTCACATTAACACCGATGTATCAGCATCAGGCCTAGTATAATGGGTCTGCCTGATCGCTTCACTGAGGGCCATTCTGCACCATTTGTCACAGTTTCTGGATCAATACTGAGCCATAAATACACAGTTAATCTAAAACAGCTGTTTTTTATTATTGTGAACATCATTATTTTTGGTTTTATCCTCTGGAATTTTTCACATTTTTATATTTTTGCTGAAACTGGCTGGCCAACAGAGGGCAGCATGGTGTAAAAACAACCGAGCACATTGAGAGTTGATCAGCTTACCTGTCTCAGCAAACAGGCTCCTGCAACCACAGACTGCATAACACGCCCTCTCAGCTAACAGCCTCCAAACACAGAGCTGTTTATGTCTGCCGTCTCGCTCAGATTCGAGCTTGACATCTGTATGGTCCTGACACTTGACACCTCTGCTTCTCCAATCATGAACATCTGGCCCTCCTGACCCTGACCCTCCAGAGGAAACCTCTAATGAGCGCTGGCACCCCCCCCAAACCTATCCCCTCCTTTGGGGCCAGCGCTGAAAATCACACACAAGGCAGGACGTTATAAATAACCAACCCCTCCCACCCCCACCGCCTCTGCGGACACAGCGCTCCTCTTTCCTGGCTCAGAAACACAAACACATCCACCTGGTGAACTTGTTAGGTTGACTTTTTTTATTTTCCTGTAAAGCCTCAGATGTGAAAGTGTTTCTGCAGTGAGGAGTGTTCCGGTGGCTAAAGGACGAAGACGTGTGTGTGTGGGGGGGGGGGGGGGGGGGGGGGGGGGGGGGGGCTGGCTGTAGATCACAGTGTGTTGGAGGGGTTGGCGGTATTGAAGGGGGCGGAAACACTCGAGCTCCCTCTGGCTACAGAAAGCTGGGCCGGAGCCTGTGGATTTGTTTGAGTCTGCTGTCAAACACAGAGTTGGTGGTTACATGGCACAAAGAGCGAGGAAGAGGGAGAGAAGAGGGTGAGGGAGCACGGGGAGGGGTGCACGTAACTAACATGGAGAGTGTGTGTGGGGGTGGGGGGGAATGAAGGCCAAGTGAAAGTATAATCGGGAGCACTACAGACTAAAGGAGATCGTCCCCAACAGTCTGCATGTTCAGTAAATGCCGTCAACTCGACATCACTAAAAGTACTCTGCAGACAACGCCACATATTACAAGAATGGGAGTCCTTTACACAGTGAAAACAGGACGGGTCAAATTTTCAACTCAACTGCAGCACTTATTCCTCAAACAACATGTTTGATGTTGAACACCAAAGGAAGTCAAATAGAGCAGAAGTTAAGCTCTTACTGGAGAATCAACCAGCGAAAACAAAAAGGAAACTTACTTTTCAGATTTGAAAATGGGACGTGGGTGTCTACATTTGGGAATTGCAGGTTCAGATGTTGGTCTTTACCTTACTGCTGTGAAATTATCACACGAATGCGCTTTTATTATGAAAGGAAATATGTGGTCATGCTTTGTGCACTGCTGCAGGCTAATCATTGGTTTCCAGATTAAGAAATGAGCCAGATATATCCTCCACACCCCCACAGTCCTTCCAGAGTCTGTGCAGTGTGTAGTTAATATTTGGCCCGCTGCTAAAAAAATCCAAACGACTAAACAATTGCGTCTTCTGACTGCTGACCTTGGGGGGTTTGAAAGGGTAGTCCGGTGTGAAGGCGATGTCCAGGAAGAAGACCCCTCCCTCATACACTGAGCCCGGTGGCCCCAGGATGGTCGACCTCCACTCGTAGATGTTGTCTCCTTTGGGGCCGGCGCTGGAAAATTGAAACAAAAGATTGGTTAATATGTTAATCAGCACGGAGCATTGAAATCGACATCCTGGTGTTCATACTGCCAGCGGGCTGATAGAGATTTGGGGCGGCAGCTGAGGCGGTGAAATGCCTGCTTCTGACAAGTTAATGATGGAGATTTGGGGAATGCTGAAGCCATGGAGGGTTGAGGGTTTTTTAGTTCAAGGCTATTTTTGAAGGATTTACACCATATTTCAACATTTTGATCAGAAGATTGGATTTCTTGCCACTGGGGGGTCGAGGAAGTGAAGCATTTCTGAAAAACTGACACACACTAATGATACTGCATGAGCATGAGACCTCAATAAATGAAAGACACACAAAAAGCTAACAGAAGAAGACCAGCAACGCACGTGTACATGGAAATAATTCATCTGCAAAAAGGCTTTAATGCTCTAAAAAACAAAACAAAACAAAACAAAAAACCAAAACAGTAATGGCCAGTGTTAGAGAGAGTGCTCTTTGGTTTTGTCCTGTGGTTTCTTCTCACTGGTTGATGTGGTAACAGAGATAAGCTCAATAATCAGCTCACAGATTCATTTTGGTGACACTTTTTTGGAAAATGTGCCAACTGGGCTCTAAAAATAAGACAGATAAAGCAATAACTAAGAAACAGTTGCATAAAGACTCTGCAGCTCTCCCTGAATGGATAAAAATACTTCAGGAAACGTGTGAAATGGAAGAATTGATATTCTCTCAGACTACACAACTACACACATCTGGGGAAAGCTGGGAAAAACACTGGATATCGTATCCGACTGAAATGAAATGCAATGATTTTTTTCTGCAGGTTTAGTTTTATTGTTTAGTTTTATTTTGTTTTATTTTGTTTTTTAGGAAGAACTAATGGAGCAGATCTCTGGATATGAGTGAGTGTTACGCACACGGGCCCAGAATATGATTGTTTAGTTCTCCTAAAAGGAAAACTAAACCACCGCTATAATCATCAATAAAACATGAAGCTTGGGCAGGGAGCGCGTGTGTGTGAGCATGAAAGGAGGTGCACCCACACTTAAATACATTAATAAATCATAATATATACACTCTGACAATAAAAAAAATAAAAAAAAAAGAGCGGGTTATCGCCTCTCTTCATTTTGTTTCTCTTCCTGTGGACAGACTTGTACTCCACATCTTGAACAGCAGTTTGTGATGGTAGTCCTCGTTCTGCTCTGTAGCCTTGTGGTCACTTCAGCCAGCTCTCCACCTGCTGTAAGCTCTGGTTAGAGCAGACCACCGGCTCACAGCAAATCTCCATAACAGAACAAGTAGTGCCGTCACCACAAGTAGCCCAAGACGGTGGAGCTGGAAATGAGCCCACCCGTAGGGAAACATGAAGAGAGAGAAGGGCCGGGGCCGACTGGTTAGCAGACTGAATTTTGAAAATGAGAGTGTGGAGATTTTCTTGATAGTGGGGCCACCCACTCGAGTAAAGCTCATGGGTCATAAAACATATTCTCATAAATAAATGAATATTAGCAGAGTTCGTTTTCTACCATTCATTCGATTTAAACTTTGAGCAAGTGAAAACTGCCTCACTGAGGTACACAGAACAAAAATATCTGTGTTTGATTCTGCATCTGTAAATCTTATATTTAGGTGTATATTCTAATATATAAAGCATTTAATTCCACTACAATCTGGTGTACTTTGTGTCCAGATATTTTACACATTCCAGCACTTTTTCTGTCACGTTTTCTTTTCCGTTGTTGAATGTGTGCCCTTCACTTTTATTCCCGACACCATACGCATTTCATTTTACCACTGACGGCCATGATTGTGGGATTTATTTGTTCTATTTTTTGTTGAAAAATGACAACAAAAAAAAAAGAAAAAAGAAAAAGAAAACAAAAGACAAATATAACCTTAAAGACTTTTACATGAGATATTTAAAAAGCCCAACTGGTGCAAAATGATTAAATATTCATGCTGTTTTTGTCTTCATTAGAGGAGTATTTATGTCGCGCAGAGATTGAAGGTCACATCTGTTGTATAGGCGCCGTAATTAATACCATTTCCATATTAAGGGCTTCCTTCCCCCCAACCACCATTGTCTACAATAAGACCCTGATCTGGCACAGAGCCATTTAGAGACCAGGACAATGTCCAGATCACAAAGCCCGGGACAATGAACAATCCCTCCTATTTCATGTAATTACCAGGGATGGTGTTTAATGCCAAACCTTAGCGTCTGGCAGATGTGCTAACAAATGTGTGCATATGAAGCGCAGGCACACAGGGCTGTGAGAGCACTTTTATTTAAACCAAGAGCTTGAGAGATATTTCCTGGAAGAGACTCTGCAACAGCCTCCAACGTTAAACTGTTAAAAGCAGCATCTGGCTCCAAGCATGCCCCTGACAATAGATCACTCTCCGTAAATAGAAATCAGACTTGAGACATTTCCTTCTTCCTTCCAGTGTCAACACACACAAATTTCCACTAATCTACTTTTACACTGCCCGTCTCTTAAGCCTTCTTTAATTAGCTCATTATGACTACTTATTCTCTGGGGAATTACAGCAGAATACACTTGATATAATAATAAAACAATCTGACTTTGAAAAGAATCGTGGTTTTAGTCATTTGTATCTGTAAACTTTAAAGTGTGATATTTAAAACAGTGCACGGTGACTGCTGGATGAGTGATTGTCGCATAAAGGACACAGGTGGTGTTAAACAGCACACGGGTGGTAAGAGGGTCCATTTAAACCGTGGAGTGTTACTGGTTTAGTTTGTTTTGGCAGGCACAAACAGTGCTGTCTAAATATGCTGAAAAGACACAAAATAACCCCAAAATTTCAGGCTTTGTTTCGCCTCCAAACAAACGTTCGGACTGAGCACAACAGCTAAAGCCACTGTAGGCAGTGAGCACAAAGAAGAAGGATTTACAGGCACACAGAGACAGATGTTGACATCTGATAGCCAGCAGTTTGGGCCTGTCATAACAATATAAAGTGAGGAAAAACACACATTATGAACTGCTCCTCTCATCCAACTATCCCTTCTAAAGAGAAGTTAAATCAGAGCAGAGAACTAGTGGACTAGAGCTTTCAGGACAGCAGATCTGTTTAGTGTAACATGTCAATCATAAGAGTAAGAAATGTCAAACATGGGCAACACTAGAACAAGCGGGTCAACTGAATCCATTGGCATTTTGAAGGAAAAAGTTAAAATCCTACACTGAAACCTGATGAGCACCTCTCAAAATCAATGTAGGAAAGAACAGCCATGATTGGCTGGTTTGGTACCATCATTTCCTCCCGTGCATTTCCAGTTCCTGCTACTTAAATGCTGTCATTTACATTTTGATATGCATGTTATATGATGACCAAATGCTAGCTTGATTTTTTTAACAGATAAATATAAAGAGGGAGGAGTTGTGGTCGGGGATAGCATGTTGAGCCAGAGCAGATAAGTGAAAAAAAGACAGCAGTGCAGCCTGTACAGAACAGGGAGAATCACAGCTGACTGAGCAGAGTGTCCAGACTGTGAGAATCTAATTCAATTGAGTCATGAGTGAAATCCACCGGCGAGTAGCTGAATTGGACGGGTTTCAGGCCTGAGGAGCAGAAGGCTATGGTTCTCTGGGTTGGGGGAAGAAAGGCTGCCCCAAGCGAGGGAGTTCAAGTATCCTGGGAAGTCCTGCAGTAATGTAGGCGTTGCACCAGACTGTTGTTGTGAAGAGAGAGCAGAGCCAAAAGGCTTTACCATCCCTATTCCAACCCTCCCGTGGTCATGAGATCTAAAAGAGCAAGTTTGCAAATACAAGCAGCTGAAATGAGTTTCCAGTGTAGGGTAGAGATAGGGAGAACAGCTGAACTGCTACTGCTGGTCTGGCCATCAAGTTAGGATGCACGCTCATCTAGAGGGGGGAACTCAAAAGTTCTGCTGGGAGAAGGATGTCTGAAATACTCCACGTAACCTGAGACTACGTGGAAGGCTAACATACTACGATGGACTGGAGGTTGGATCTTTTTTGAAAACACGGAAAACTATTTGAAAGGGTTATTCACAAGTGGATTTGAAAATGTATTTGATCTGTAATCAAATGATTTGATTAACTTAAAAACAAAAAAGAATGATAACATTTAGTTAAAAAAATGAAAAATTCTTTGCGTGGCTGCTGATGTTGGAGCAACAAAAACAACTGCAATCTTTATACATCACACACCACTTAGTTTGTCCGCTGAATGTGAACACAAGCTGAGCCACCCAGGAAAAGACTCGGTCCAAATTGGTCCGGACATGTTGTCATAACTGGCACCGCAGTCGTTATGTCAGCGCCTGCCTTTATGTGAACTCATTTTGTGCCTCATTCACTGTTAACAGCAGGTTTTCACCTCATCCTTTAGTCTGAACAACTGTTCAAAACAACCTTCAGATGTTGTCAAATGATGCTTTATAACATCTAGCTTATTCCAAGCATACACCCAACTTTATCTGTGAGTGGGTATGGCTTTCAAACGCAGGCCTTTTAGTGTAAATCTGACTGATAAATAAATGATTTAGTTCTTTTCAAATGTGGACGAGTGAGCTGAGCCACTCACTGGCTCAACATTACTCTGCATTTCCTGCTGGGAAAGAACCACAAAGACAGCTTATTTTTCTAGCTTGAGGATATCTTCCTTCTGTGACTCTTTAGCTTACATTTCTGTGCTACATACACACAGACACACTCACATATCAAGGTAACACTTTTATCACATCTATTCAAAAGCTTCTGTGACACCGCGGTGAATAAAAGAGGTGACTATTTCATTCTCTGGCATCCCCAATAGAAGGAGATGCTCACTTCTTTTGAGGGTGATGAGATTGTAGTGGCGATAATAACTCAGACATGAAGGAAAGATAGTGATGATAGGGCACGGCAGAGGTGCGCGCTCAGCAGCGAGATTGCTGTAGGGGAGCTGACAACCGCACAAGGGCTGTGGATAAAGGCTAAGTCAATAGCTGAATGTGCATG